CTGGTGCTCATGGCCAGAGTTCAGTTACATCAAGTGTGGCAGAGATTTGTTTCATTTCAGCTGATAAAGCTTAGATTGATTCCTTTTTTTTTTTTAATGAGTACACATGTACATTTTAGGATTGTTTTTAAAATTCTCTTATTTGCTTTTAAATCTCTTAATGGCCTGCCCCCCCCCCCCCCCCCCCCCCCTACCTCTCGGAGCTACTACAACCATATACACCTGCCCGTTCCCTTAGGTCCGCCAATCAGCAGCTCCTTAAGGTACCGAAAACTAAGTATAAATTTAAAGGTGATCGTGCTTTTGCTGTAGCTGCTCCAAAGTTGTGGAATGATCTGCCCTTGCATGTTAGGCAGGCCTCTTCTCTCTCTGAATTTAAAAGTCTTCTTAAAACATATTTATTCCTGAAGCCTTTGGCATTGATTAGAGGGGTTGACTCAATTTGTTTTAACATGTTTCAATTTATTTTATCTATTTATTTTATCGTATCTCATTTTAATTTTCTTTACGTATGCTATTAACATGTACAGCACTTTGTGAAACTCTGGTTTTATGTTAAAGTGCTTTAGAAATAAAGTTGGTATGGTATGATTCACTCAGTTTAATCTATATACCAACGTTCTCCTGTCTAGTATAAAGATTTGATAGTGTGCTGTCAGCGTAGGGGATGAAATTAGCCAAGCTAGCTGTGAAACATCTGTTTAAATGAACAAAGAGCAGCAGGTCAGCTGATCACAGCCTGCACTGGAGCTCACATTAGAAATCATTGTGAGCTGTGATTCTGTTCTCCATGCTGAGCCACTACAAAAGCTCTGAGGGTTTCCCCCTACAATATAAAACACCTTGAAGCGACGGTTGTGATTTGGTCCTGTATAAATAAAACTGAAATGAATCGTTGAAAGTAATTTGCTAACAATGGTAGCATTACTGTGTGTACCCCCAACCAGCAGTCATTAAAGATCATGTTAGTCTGTGAAAATATTACGTCCCATGACAATAGTATCCAAAGTGGTGGCTGGTATCAAACCAGTGCTCCCAGTAGCCCTTGAACTGGGAACTCTCATAGAGGAGCAGGAAACAGACAGGAAACCCGATGCTGCTGATGTCTGACAGCGGTGTGAGTGGTATACAGGAGCCGGCTCATTTCCAGTCTGCCGCTCGCCGCCTCGAGCCTCCATTTACATGGAAAAATGTGCATTGTGGTAGAAAATCATCCTCCATGTTTTGATATTTACATCATTTCATTTACATAACATGTTCAACAGCAGAGTCTAATTGGACGGTTGGTTTCAGCTCTGCTCTCAGTCCTTACTGCACAGTTGAAGGTAGAAAGTGTGACTGGATCTACAGACTGGAATCAGAGAAACATGATGAACATATTTGCAGTATAAAGATTTATACTCCAAACAAAGTAAACACTGTGGTTGTATCAGAGACGAGCTGTGATCAGTTTGTTCACTCTGAGCCAGTCTGACCACATATTTGTAAACCAGCACATGAAGGTGTGGCCCTCTCAGTCTTCAGGTGCAGTCCCGCCTTCTTCCAGTAAGGAGCAGCTCACCTGTGTGTCTATGTTTACTGGCCAGCTGTGGAGTGGAGCTTGTTGTTGGTGTGTGTGAAGAAACTGTAAGTTTGCTTTGCTTCCTCCTTTAACAGTTTGACTGTTTGGTTCTGCTCTGTGATGTTTGGACCTGATGTTCAGCTTTGATCACTCTTGTGCTTGAAGACTATTAACCCCGATTCTTTTGTCCCCATGACAGAACAGAGGAAACCGACTCATAGTGTGTTGTAACATTTATATTTCTTTTTATTTAATCATCTTCCGGAAGAGAGAGACCCCTGCACAGCTCAAACGCCAGTTGCAGGATCTCTAACATTAGAATCATAAACTGTGCCTCATATAGGTTTTATTTTGGTACTTTACACGTCACACAGTCTCAAACATTGCTTATAAGGAAAGTTCCTCTTTTCTGGGTCTTTATCTATTAATAGGCCTGTGCACTAAAACTTCCTGTTTTTCAGTCTGGCTGAGCACTTAGTTTGTGAGTCAAAGGTGGCCTTGCTCTACAAGCCTTCATTATTAAAGTACATAAAACAATCTAATGAGCAGATACACATTAAAAATATTTCTTTTATTCCTAACAGTGGTAGGAAGTTATGTGTCCAAGGAGGAGCCTGGAGCAGGTAGAAGTGAGAACTCAGAGAGAAAGAAAGCATCAACGTTCATGTTAGAGATGGCACGATACCACTTTTTCATGTCCGATACCGATATCATAAATTTTGATATTTGCCGATACCGATATGAATCCGATATAGTGATTTTTAACTGTTTCTTTTAATATCTTGCTGCATTTTGTATAAGTTCATACTCAAGTTTAAATAAACAACAACTCTAAAGCTACTCAGTTATACCTGTATGTAAAAAAAAAAAAAAAAAAAAAAAAAAAAAAAATACACTACACCCAAAATATTTCATAGTTCAGCAAAACTGATCAATCTAATAAACTTAAACCTGCTCCATCCTCCCTATTCTGGTATTTGAAAGAGTACTTAGCAGAAATATTAAGCAACCTAACTAATAGGGTTGAAAACGCCCCACAAAAAAAAGAAATAGGGACCCCCCCAACCTCCGCTTCGTGATGCTTAATCGACGTAATCAACTTTAATTTAATGCATGTAAAAGAAAATTCACAGAAATAAATTATTTTTCAAGAATAATTAAATAGATTCAACATCTTTCTTCAACAGAACTGCAGACTGCACAGATGGTACCGTCCCAAAGGAAAAAGTACTATAGCTTACTAGGGTATATATATTAGACTTAACAGTTACTATATATAGTAATGAACTTCTATATATTTTACATCAGATTAAAACTTTGGGTGTCAGATAATTATTTATTAAAAGCTCGACATTTTAAATGAGAATAAGAAAGAAAAGTATGTCTTTGTGCCCCCTTTTCCCTGTTCATGCCCTATCGGCCCCCCTGGCTAAACTTTGCTAGATCCGCCCCTGCACAGTTACCAGCCGTCAGCTACGTAGAAAAAGATCCTGGAGTAGAAAGTAATAATAAATACATTCTAACAACAGCTGATCAAGCTTAAACGTGCTGCTGTTGTTCAGCCGCTGGTTTCCTCTTTCTGGTGCAAAGTGAGCCAAAAACAAACAAGAGAGACGATCAGCTGATCATTGATCAGTTTCATGACTGGAGTAGCAGCAAGAGAGAGAGAGAGGCAGTCGCTCCATATATCGGTTGTTAAGCTTAACGCTGGAATGATTTACAAACACTCAGAGATGAACTTACACACTTGGTTTACTTCTCTCTGGGATCACTTCCTCAGAGATGAAATGCTGGTGAGGCTACAAATACACACAGCTGCTCTATCATGTGACCACACTGCTCCAACGTGCTTATGAGCAGAGTTACGCCGTGTCGCAAGTTTTGTGAGGTGCTTTTTTGATATTTAATGGATCGGATTACATTTTTTATTTCTCTCCGATATCCGATCCAGTAATGTAGGTCAGTATCGGACCGATACCGATACGTAATATCGGATCGGTCCATCTCTAGTTCATATTCATTTAGTGATTACACACATCTTTATTTCATAGATTTTACTATAGTTATACAGTGATGCTGAGAATGATGACTGAGCAGTAAAAATATGCAAATACTTTAGAGATCTCTGTATTTTTAATAAAATCCACATATTTCATATCACATATTTGAGCTTTATTCCAGCATGATTTATGTTTCAGCAAAATTTAACTGAACGTGTAGATTATGGCAAATATGACAGGTCAATTTGCTGAATGGAGCAGGAAACCTATCAATACTTATCTGAGCCCACCCCAAACAACAACAAAAAGGTTTAGCAGCAGGTATATCATCAGCTTAATGTCCTCCACCGTTCTGTTTGTGTCACATACAAATGCAGAGTGCAGGATACAAGCGTTTAGGAAGACCTTCCCACTCCCACTCGTCAGTGTTGTAAGTGATATATTGGGTGCATGTGTGCATCGATGAGGTGAAAAGATTAGTTTACATACAGTCATACACAGAGTGTTATTAAGATTCAGGGGGCAGATGTGATGTGAGCACCCAAATGATGATGAGATGTTGTTTGAGGAAGTGGAGGGCGGCAGGGTGCTTAAGACTGGGAGATAGCTGGATCCTTCTGGTAGTAATCCTCTAATAACCCGCTCAGTGAGGACCCGTATTTCCCACACCCCACCATGGGCCCTGCAACCACACCACCCCAGAGCATTGCCATGCCTAAGATCCCCACCCACCCTCCCCACCACTTTTACAGTTTTATATTTTTAAATGGTAAATGGCCTGTATTTGTATAGCGCTTTACTCGTCCCTAAGGACCCTAAAGTGCTTTACATATCCAGTCATCCACCCATTCACACACACATTCACACACTGGTGATGGCAGCTACATTGTAGCCACAGCCGCCCTGGGGCGCACTGACAGAGGCAGAGGTAGATAATCATTACTTTCCTACAGAATGCCCCAAAAAACAACTATTTTTCCTACATATTTGAGATAAAGCGCTGATGTTTTGGCAGGAACCATCTTTCTCATAGTTTTCTATGAATTTAGCAAATACCAGTGCCATTCCTCAGAAAATATACTGACTACATTTCAGTTAAAGGTGTCCTTCTGAAGGAAGTGAATGAGCTTGTTGCTGGTTATCTGGCAGAGGGGATACTACCTTTACCAGGTCAGTATACAGATACATGACTTACAAGACTGACAGTGACAAAAGCTCTATATCAGAATTACTAAGCACTTTTTATGAACCACATGTAGACATGTTTCTCCTGATGAACCCAAAATTTTAACAACACTCGGGTCATGAGGAAGCTTCCAATTGTTGGATTATTTTTCTTTTCCAATGGAAAAATGGTGTTGGCATTTGAATTATGAACAAGAAACATTGAGGAACAGTGTGGAGTTTCTAAGAATGAAGCCATGAGGTTGCAGAAGAGGTTAAGGGGTAAACTTTAGTTTTAGGGTCATGTGAAACTTCTGAATGTCATCCATGGTGTCTGTTTCCACAGTCTGCTCTACAACATGGCGGACATCTAAAGCTTTGAAAAAGCGCTTCACTTCCTGCACTTCAGCCTGACATCGTCTCTTCATGCCTGATTGTTCCTTCTGAGCCTCCATCAGCTTCTTGTACTTTAACTCCACAGCTTTTATTTTCTCCTGCATTTCTTTATCGTAGAACTCTCTGAGCTCCGACTCTCTCTGCTTCAACATTTCCTCCACCTGCTTGTAGGTGTAGTTGGAGTAAAACTCTTCTCCATTGTCAGCCACCATCCTCTCCACCTTCTCCAGTAGATCCAGGACCTGACCACGATCATCAGCTTGGCTGTTGTTGAAGACGTGGTATCTGTTCTGGGCCTTCTGCAGGACCTCCTTCAGTTCAGGCCCAGCCTCATCCAGCTCACTCTGGATGTCCAGTCCAGTTTCACCGTCCAGTGTAAAGAGGATCATTGTGTACTTCCAGGCACCGTCTCCAAAGATCTCCTCCACCTTCTCCACAGCATCTCTTTCCTCTTGTGTGAAGGGTCCCATCTTGATGACCAGCAGGATGGCGTGGGGCCCTGGGGCCGACATGTTGATGCATTTGGAGATCTCCCTCTTCACGATGTGATCAGGTAATGAGGTGTCGAAGAGGCCGGGAGTGTCAACGATGGTCACCTCCCTGCCGAACACCTCCCCACTCTGCTTGCAGCACTGTGCAGTGACTGAGGAGAGAAAACACATGAGTTTACTCTGAAACATGACTTCACTTGACAGGTCTCAGGAGATCATCCACCATTCATACACTTCATATGTCTGGTTTCTGTTTATCAGCACTGATTATTTTTTAGCTGCGTGATTTTGCTCCTCTAGCACAGTTTGGATTAAAAATAATAACACCTGAGCAAATGTCAGCTTTAATGTGAGTCGACTTCCACGAATACAAACAGGAAAACAGAGAGTGATGAGCTGATTATACAGTCTGATATCCGGCCAATGTTCAGCAGCAGCTGTGACTGTTTGTGCTTTTAGGAAGCTAGCCTGGAAAACCAGAGCAGTGGAGATTTGTTAACACACAGGTTTTATCTTTGTTTTAAAGGTCTGGAGTTTCTCTTGTGAAGGTATTTATTTCACATTTTAACTAATTATTGCCACATTTAATTAATTAAATTAATTTTGTCACTCCTGACCCTGGGCTGTGTTCTGTCTTTGTGTTTAAATAGCAAATCAAATCTTTACATTGTAGGTTTCTTAGCTCCCACTTTTATTCTGCCTAACTGAGATTGGGCAGTTATTCTGTGTGTAGTTCTTTGTTGTTCATATTGGCTTTACCTTTGCTGATAAGTCAAGTTGACTTATCAGCAAAGGTGACTGGATAAAATAATTAATTAATGTATTACCTGAGGACTGACTGACTGCTGCTCCAAAGGCATCTCTTCCCAGTATGGTGTTTCCACTGGAGCTTTTCCCAGCTCCAGTCTTGCCTACAACAACCAGTCTAAAGTCTGCAAAAGTGAAACATGCCTGAACTTTAGGTTATCGGAATAAATAAAAAATAAAAATATTTTAAATTACAGTCCTGTTAAAGTGTTTGTCTCCTTCTACTGTCAAATCGTGAATAAAGGGGGTGGTTGTATATCAGGAAGTAGAGCAGGTCATCAACTAATCAAAAGGTTGGTTGTTTGATCCCTGACTGCTCCAGTCTGCAAACCAAATATCCTTGGGCAACCTCAAGTTGCTCTCCGATGCATCCATCACAATGTTAGATAGCACTAAGGCACAGAAGAAAAAGTGCTTGTGTGAAGGCTGTATAAAGAGCTTTAAGTGTTCTAGAAGAAAAATCCTTTATGAGAACCAGTCCATTTACCTCTTTGAGATATTTTTGATTAACTAATAAAGCTCCATCCCATTTTATGCCAACTAAAGAACAGCTGACACAAACGATTGTCAAGAAATGGTGGACATTTGATGGCAGGTCTTAGATAATCATGAGTTATCACTTGGTGTTCGCTCTCTTTGCGGTAGAGCATCACTTCCTGTTCCTGCTCAAATACAGTGGTGATTTTGAGTAACTTATCTGCTTAGCAATGTAATTAAAAACCTTTAGATACATTCTTTTTTTCATAGTTTAATCTTCACGTGCTTCATCCAAAGCACACTTTCTGTGTACTCACTACCTAATTTATAGCCAAAGTATTCACTCACGCACGGTGGTTAGCATTGTTGCCTCAAGGCAAGAAGGTCCTGAGTTCAATTCCACCATCAGGCCAGGGCCTTTCTGTGTGGAGTTTGCATGTTCTCCCCCTGTTTGCGTGGGTTCTCCCAGGGTACTCCGGCTTCCCCCCACCGTCTAAAGACATGCACGTTGTGGGGATAGGTTAACTGAAAAGTGTAAATTGCCCACAGGTGTGAATGCGGGAGTGAATGTGAGTGCGAATGGTTTTCTGTCCCTATGTATTAGCCCTGCAACAGACTGGCGACCTGTCCAGGGTGTACCCTGCCTCTCGCCCTATGACAGCTGGGATAGGCTCCAGCGCCCCCCGTGACCCTGAAAAGGATAAGCGGAAGTGAATGGATGGTATTCACTCACTGGGTCTTTATTGTTTCGCTCGCTTAGCTTAGCTCGTAGCCGACTCGTTAGCACCATGGCTACTTCACCTGTCCCTCCTGCACTTTCTTGCTCATTGTGTCAGATGTTTAGTTACTCCTCGGCCTCCTTTAGCAGTAATGATATCTGTAACAAATGTAGTATATTTGCAGCGCTGGAGGCCAGGATTACAGAAATGGAGACTCGGCTTCGCACCCTTCATTCACCCATAGCTAGCCAGGCCCCTGTAGCTGGTGCAGCCGAAGATAGCGTAGGCCCTGCTAGCTGTTCCCCGGCAGACCCCAAGCAGCTGGGGAAAGAGGGCGGCTGGGTGACGGTGAGGAGGAAGCATAGTCCTAAACAGAAGCCCCAGGTACACCACCAACCCGTTCATGTGTCTAACCATTTTTCCCCACTCGGCGACACACCCGCCGGGGGTCAAACTCTGGTAATTGGTGATTCTGTTCTCAGACATGTGAAGCTAGAGACACCGGCAACCATAGTCAATTGTCTTCCAGGTGTAATTGACCCCATGTCTCACCGGCTGGCCCCATGCTGGGCAAAATGTGTTTTGTGTGCGCTCTCTCTCATCTGCATGGGTGGTCCTCATTATGGGCTCTGACCTCTGCTCTCATTTCTAGAAATATGGACAAATTTATTAAACCCCCCAAAATATGACTAACATAATCATCCTGCTGCAACCAGGTTTCTGTAAGGCAGAGTAAATCAATTTGTTGATCAATTATTAAGTCATGTACTAACAGAGACTTGGAGGAGAGAGACCTAATATTTAATAATCCACATTTCACTGTTTTACTCTTTGGTTCAGATGTGGATACTGTATTGTTCTTTCTTTGTAATTGTTTATGTTTAAGTTGTTTGTTGCTGGTTTTTAGTTTGTTTTTTGTCTTTTTGGAAGCTGACACAGTCTCTATGGAGATGGGTTTTTGGGGGGGTAGCAGGAGGAGAGAAGCTGCAGAGAGGCGTGTAAGACTGCAACTCTGCTTCCTGGTCCCAACTCTGGATAGTTTAAACGAATCAACACCCCCGAGTCATTCTAACTACCAGAAACCTCGAAGCACAGGCCGAGGGGGCGGTGTGGCAGCAATTTTTCACACCAGCCTATTAATTAATGAAAGACCATGACAGACTTTTAATTCATTTGAAAGCCTGATGCTTAGCCTCGTCCACCCCAGCTGTGAAACTCAGAAACCAGTCTTACTTGTTATCATCTATCGTCCACCTTGGCCTTACACAGAGTTTCTGTCTGATTTCTCAGACTTTATATCTAATTTAGTTCTGAGCTCAGATAAAATAATTATTGTGGGTGATTTTAACATCCATGTAGATGCTAAAAATGACAGCCTCAACACAGCATTTAATGTGGATACTGTAGCTCCTGTGAAAACTAAGGCCTCAAATCAGAAGTACCTGACTCCGTGGTATAATTCTCAAACATGTAGCCTAAAGCAGATAACTAAGCTGGAGAGGAAATGGCGCGTCACAACTTTAGAAGGGGCGGGGGGAGCAGAAGGGGTGTCGGATGAAATTCGAACCACTTTAGTTGAGCATGTCCTTGTCCCTGGTATGACTATGAAGGAGCATGGGCAGCAAGTACAGACAAATTTGAGTCGCCCCCATCATCAGAACCTTCAGGGAGAAAAACAGGTAGGTGTACTTGCAGTAAGACTGCTGTGTACAGTAACTTTTGGTTACTGATCTCAAGTTTCTTGAGCTTAAATTTAAGCTTAAATTTCAAAACTTACATTTAACTACTGATTTTATCTACTGTTCTGATTTTATCTGTTCTGATTTTATCTGTTCTGATTTTATCTGTTCTGATTTTATCTGTTCTGATTTTATCTGTTCTGATTTTATCTGTTCTGTTTGTTTGTTTGTTTGTTTGTTTGTTTTAATCAATTTTAAATCATGCTTTTTATTTGTTCTTGTTTCTAATGTCTCTGTAAAGCACTTTGAATCACCTTGTTGTTGAATTGTGCTATACAAATAAACTTGCCTTGCCTTGCCTTTCTTGATTTTCAGTATGTTTCTTTTTTTTTTTCGTGTAAAAAGGATGTTTGACAGTTACAGTAATGAGCGCTTCTATTTTTGTAGGACACAGAAACGGCCACCTGGTGGAGGCAGGTTATGGGTTTTGTCGAAGCAGCAAGAGAGGGAACTTGTAAACATGGTAACTGCCAATAATGTAATCCGCCTGCAAGAGAATCAAAGGAGAGTGATCGAGGATGATCATCATTTTCGAGGGATAAATGCCATCAGTCTCTTCACAATTGACCACATCCTCTGAAAGAACCAATTCCAGATTAAACAGGTATGCCGCACCTCTTTTAAATGAAACTCTGACAGAGTAAAAAACCAATGAGTGAAATACGTTAAGGTATGAGTTTTGATATTGTATGAAGTACTGTGTTCCATCACAGCATTGCAGTTTATGCTGCCATTTGTGCACCCTTGAACTGTGATTCAGGGTAGCGATTTACTCTACTGTGTTATGTGTTTTGCAGAGAATCTTTGCGATTCAAGGACGGTCTGTTACCCATGAAATTATCTTTGTGGATGTGGCAGGGTTTAACCTGACCAAAGGAGAAGGGGGAGGAACATAGGGCTATTGTAAATGTCCCTGGTTCCAAAAAGTTCCTCTAAGATATGAGGAAAGGAGAGAAAATAATTTAAAAGGCAGCCAATGTCCAAAGAACAACTTCATAAAGCCTTCAGAGCACTTAAAAAAGAAAAACTAGGTGAAAGTCTGGCCTCTCTTATGACAAATATATAGAAATTATGGGTCACTCAAGATGTTTCCACAACATAAGAGTTTAACGAAATCCAAAGAATAAATCAAAATATAAAGTTTCAAAATAAAAAAAGAAGAAGGACATGCTTACACTGGAATATTTCTAACATTGAGTTATTTTCCAGTGTTAGAAAATCAGCACTGCTCAGTGTTAGCCATTGTTAATCTTCAAAACTGACTAGGTTACTTTTAAACATATAACACTGTCAAAAGTGTTACTTTAACACTCAACAGTGTTGTATTTAACACTCAGAGGTGTGGACCCATATAGACACTCTCCAGTGTTAATTTAACACTGGAGATTTTGCTGTGTACTAATGTAAAAGGGGCTTTTATGAAAGAACTCTCAGACAATGTGAGAATCTAATCAAAGGGAAAGTGTTATTTTTTTCGTACACTTAAATGGAACATTGATGTTAATTTGTCTAATCTATTAACGATAAGTAGTTGTAACAATATGGGGAATAAATAGGCAGTATTTTGTATGTTAACGGCCTGTCTTTAGTTCAGGATATGAGGCAGGAGAGAAACCAGTGGTTGAGGAGGCAGATGAAGAAGAGGAGAAAGATGATGAAAATATAAATTAGAAATCTTGGTCATATAATTGGAAAGAGCTATTTGCTATATTTAAAATAAATTTATAATTGACACTTTACAGCAGCTTTTCCCTTTCTTTTGGAATTATCATGAATCCGGAAGATTATAAAAAAAATCAACTGGAGTATAGAAGGTCAATAGAAGTCTGTGACGGTTCTCAGTCAACCAGGTCATCGTAGTCAAAGGAGCTTTCAAAGAAAAGCGTCTGGACTTTAAGTTACTTGAAGACGTTTCACCTCTCATCCGAGAAGCTTCTTCAGTTCTAAGGTCAAATGGTGGAGAGTCCCAGATATAAACCCAGTGGGAGTTTCCCCCCACAGAGGGACAAAAGGACCCCCTGATGATCCTCTAATCACATGAGCCAAGGTGTGAAACTGGATTTGGGTCCCAATCAGCCAGAGTTTCGGGTGAGTTCATTGTGAAACCTGGCCACACCTTATCATGCGAATTCCTGAGATCAGATGGCCCACTCACATCCTGGGCCATCTGACCTCAGGAATCCAGACGCT